GAAGGTGGAACTATCCTCAGAAAATTAAAGCTCTCTTATCTGTTAATGTGTCAGCACATCTAATAGCCTGGGGACCGTAAACAACTTTAAATATCAAAACAATTTAGCTGGCGATTGTCTGCGATTACGGATTAAGAATACGAAATTTGTACGTGCTGATATCCAAGCTAGATTGAACACGGGGAGCCGGATCGTCAGCTAATGTAAGCAGGGGGAGCTCAGGGGAGGGATGACGCTTTGTACAAGCTGAGCCTCTGACCCTGGGAGCTTTTCAGAAGTTCTTGTTTCTTGTTTCTGAAAGCACCAGATAACACACGGCAGCAGGGAGATGATGTATGGAGGGTTTAGGGCCCCCGCAGAGCCCGGTCGTCGCTGGCTCCCCCGGGTGTGCAGGGACACCACGTTCTGCCGCGTGCGTCTTGCCGTGCAGCCTGCACAGGGACCTTATGAATAACGACTTAGGAGTGAAGGGATTTAAGATTACTTGGGAGTGAAAGGATTTAAGATTACAGAACTTTTTCAAGAGCAAGTCAAGGTGCCGGCATGTTCAAACGCTGTCAGATATGCCAGGGCAGGTGCTTCTTGAAGGATGTGCTTTGTATCTTCAATGTGACAGCGCCTACTGCAGTAAATTAACATACGTGCACTTGCTGCTGCCTTTTCCAAACCCTACCGCCAAGTGATCACCTTCAGCTCAGTCACTAGTCACCCCATGAGTGACCAGAAGAGTAGGAATTATTTCTTCCTCCCAGAAATACGCTTGACTGTTTGCAACAATAGTGACATGCAATAAGCCCTATAGACTGGTGGACATAGAGGTGGGTATGTTTTATAGCACTGTTGGATTTGGCGTTTTTTTCTTAACTAGTCTTTGCTGAAAGTATTTCTATGGCCTCTCTATTATTATAGGTCATTTTATGACATATACTAGACAATTATTCTATTAATATTCTATAATAATATCATACAGAAGAGAAAGTAGATTTCCCACAGATGCATAAGGAGACAGTAGTAGTGCAAGGAGCTGAATATCAGATATATGTCCTAGCCACTGAACTATCCTTTTTCTCCTCTGAGCATCACAAAATACATGCAATAATATATTTTTGAAAGATTGATATTAGGTTAATGATAAATCTTACAAAATGAATAAGATGGCATTACTTTTGATGTGGCAGAAGGGAACTTACGTGATGAAGTAGTGTTAAAAGAGGACACCTACTTAGAAACTGAAACAATTATTGTTGCTTATCCATTAGGGCCATATATTTTATTGGTTTTATCAGTAGTTCTGGATAAGGAAAAGGAATGTTTCTGGCAAATATGAAGTTCCATCAGAGAAATATGGAGATGTGTGCTACCGGAGTATTAAAAATACAAAGCAATGTCATATTAGTGAAATTACCTGAAAAGTAATAAAGGCTGAAAAAGATATCCTGAAAGCCAAAAGGTTTTTGTTTGTTTGTTTGTTTTTAAATTAGGATAATTAGACTAAAACTGACAGCAAATGATTTCTCAGCAGCAAGAAACATGCGCAAAATCAACCCAGCCAAAACAGTCCCCTAAGCATGACAGCATGACAGGCATATAGAAGGTTAAAGGCTCAAACTTGCCATGAGGAGAGTACTACTCTTCTCCCACAGTCAGTCCTTAAATGTAGAGAAGTTCTAGTCTAGTCCTGTCATGCCATGGGCTGAAATTATCCTTTATTGCTCATAGCACATGAGAGACTCTTGCAATCCATCTCCAGGTGTAGTTTCATCCAGAAAAGATGTAGGCTACGTCACCAAGTGAGCAGCACATAAATGTGGCTGGAGACAGAGGTAACTACCCAACAAACTGCACTGTGCGTTGTCTCCTCCTTGCTTGCAAGGCTTGCAAGCCTCCTCCTTGCTCCCCTGCCTCTCTAGGTCATCCTGACCCAACCCAGCACCTCATGTAAACGTTTCTGTGCATTAGGCAGAGCACTGAGGAGCACTGAAGACCTTCCCCTTCATTTAAGGATCCTTAGTGGGACAGAAATAACCTAGCAGCATGAGTCACATTGGTGTTGCTCAGATTTGAAGCTTCTCAGTACGTCTTTGCTAATAATTAGCACTTGCTAAGCGTATAAAAACAATTGTACCACATCACATCAGAGACTGGGTAGCCTGGATCCTCTCTGCAACAGTAGCCAGCAATGAGGGCTTGGGGAGCATTATACGAACAAGACAAGCACACTGTGATGCCCAGGATACTTTCTAGCTTCCAAAAATTGCACAAATGAAGGACTTCCTAAGCCAGAGGCTAATCTTTTAATTTAATCGTCTTTGATACCTTTTCGCTTTTGTGAATCATCTAGCTGCTCTTTGGATTTATGTTAATTTTAGCACCTACAGTGTCCTGCAGGAACATGTTCCTGAGTTTCACTGCATGCTGTGCACTCCTGATTTATTAAAAGATTGGGTATGTCCATTGCAGGTGTTCAGCTGCCCTTAAAGAGCCTCTGCTCACATTGATTTCAGAAATAGGATTACTAAGGAGTGTAGTGCAGAGGCACCGTATCCAAGTTATCAGTGTGAGTAGGTACAATGTGCATGCAAATACATCCAAACTGAGGCCAGACTTCTCTGTGTGAATTTACATGTGAGGACACTGGGATCCCTTCTCTTGCTCAAGTTTGGCTTGTGGAATCTTTGTGTTCCAGCCTGGGATTTTATTTGAATGTATTCGTGATTTTTCAAAAAAGCAGTGATAAGGAAACATTTGGCCAGAAGGCAGGCTTCTCAGTTACTGAAGAGGACGCAATATCCAAATGACTCAGGGGGTTGTGGGTGAAGTAATAGCTACACATGATAGCTTGGGATGTGGGTTTGTGGTCCGATGCCACACAGCCTCAGAGCTTTTGGCCTGTGAGGTTAATGTAAATGACTTTGGTAGGAAGCCTCCTGAGACTTTCCAGAACCACTTCTCTTGTTAAGATTTCAAAGATTGTGCAGTGACAACTAATAAACTAGGATTCCTGATAGATGTGAAGGTGCTGCGAGGGAGGTGGGACAGTCCTCCTCAAATGCTGCTAAGTGCAGAAATACTGAAGCCCTTCTGCTGCCAGAAGAGGTTCCACGGTGATGGGACAGGAGAGTTCCTGAAGACTGAAAGAAAACATGAAGTAGGACGGTAGGAATAAGTATGCCCTGGGAGATATGTAGTGCCTGGGAAGCCCCGCTCTGTTGGAGGAGGTTATCAGAAGACCTGCTGGATCAGTGTGCTCTGGTGTCTGATACACTGTCCATCTTGGTGCCCCCTGTTCGTGCTGACTTGTGTTTGCTATGAGTGTCCTCGGGTTACTGAATGTCTTGTTTTCTGCTGAATCACTTGATGATACTGAGACAAAATACATAAATGTCAATGCAAGTGTAAGTAAGAAGGTCAACAGCACCTCTGCACCCCTCCACTGCTACCTTACCACTAATCACTGGTACCTACTGGGATTCAACCATGAAGCCCTTTGGGAAGGTGTCAACCGTAACTCACTGCCTTATATAATGAAGAACTTGCAGAAGCTACAAAATATGGATTGATTCACCTGGATTCTTTTTTTTCCCTCTCATTCTCTGTTCTATAATTTCCTCACCTCCTCTAGACCTTTCCATCCATCCATCCATTTTTGTTCTCTGATCACTCTACTGCAGCTCTCAGCTGAAGGTCTCGGTGCAACTGCAATTCCTGGTTCCTGTGCTGTGTTGCCCATTGCAAGAGAGCCTTGCTATTCCATGCCCTCTCCTATGCCATGCCGTGTCGTGCCATAGGAGAGGGCGCCAGGGTCCCTTCTGTCCCTGCTCAGCCAAGCTGAGTGTAATCAAGGATTTTAATGCACAGATTAGTGGAGAGAGGAACTGGAGAAGTGCCTGCTCCCTCTTCGTCTTTGATTAAAACCTACCATGAGCAGGAGCTGTTTGGTGGGCTTTTTTGTTTGTTTGTTTTCTGTTTTCTGCTGCTGCTTCCTGCAGCAGAAAAGTCAAGGAATAGGGAGATAACAGCAGAGCTTGCACCCAGGGCCTGGCAGATTAGTTTGCTTTCAGAAACAAACCCAACTTTTTCACTTTTCTCGGCAGATTTGGATCTACCACTACATCCAAATTTTCAGGGTTCGTTGATGGCAAGCACAGTTGAACAGAGGTTGTTCATTTCTGAGTTGAACAGTCAAAGGTTTGCACAGGTTGTGGTGCCTTGCTGGAACAGCAGAGGAACTTCTTTATCCCTACAGATGTATCCAGAGACAGGGTGGGTCCCAAACTTGGTGAATCTTCCTAATTAAGTGGTTTGCAGGCAGGGGCTGCTGCTTAGGAAATGGCAGCATCCTCCCTGCAGGCAGATCAATACACTTTGGCTGACTGCACTGCAAGAAACTTTTCATCGTGCATTAGGAACAAGGAGAGTAAAAGCCAAGATGGATGTTATTTTGGGTTTGCTTTTATTTTGAATTATTTATTGGGAAGTCACTGTTGTCTTCCTTCTTCTCAGGAGACAAAATGTCTTTGTCTGCTTGTTTTACATATTAAAAAGAAGGAAAGTCTTCCTAGCTGTATTTCTCTCACTTGCTTCTTGGTAGTGAGGTATAAATCTAGAGTCTCCACAAGTTTATGAGAGTGTCTCCCGCTGCCCTAGTACAGGTAAAGTCCCCACTGACGCCACTGGGAATCACACTTTGTTGATACATTTCTACCCACTTTTATAACAGGCTTTGAAAGCACATTGCAGATGAATTATATGTGCTGTGAGTGACTGCTGGCATGTAAGCAGAGGGTATTATGGATGGTTAAAAGACATCTACAATCTAGCTGAACTATCACTTTAATTAAGAACTTAACAAATGTCTGGAAAAGATTATGAATCTCATTTTAAGAGAATTCTTTATATCAAATATTACTGGGCAAAAATTCTGCAACTGGCTCCTGTATTAAGATCATCGTAAAATGTGAACTAATAATCTGCTCTGATATTTTTCTTCCTAATTCTAGGTTATCCTGAAAGGGCAGATAAAGAAACTGGCCACCAAGATGGTAATCACTAGTGGAAATGATGAAGACAAAGGCAATCAAGAAAAGGAAAGCAAAGAAGAAACCATCCTGGCAATGCTTGGAATTATTGGGACAATCCTGAACCTCATTGTGATCATTTTTGTGTACATTTACACGACGTTGTAAACTGGAAGGAATGCAAATGGGACAGATAAAGTGGCCATTAAGGGTGTCAACAAACACTGCTGACTATTGACAAATTGTTTAATCAGAATTGACTCTGTATTATATTAACACATCATAAAAGCACTGCCTGCAGGCAGAAAAGGATGAAGCACAAGTAATTTAACAGGACTTTTTCACATAGAAACAAGCCAAACTCTTCTGTCCTGCTCTCTTCCTTTTGTTTTGGTCCTTGGTATGGGGGGAAATGATGACAGTTGTGTAAGTAGTAGCTTTGAAGAAATCCACCAGGAATATATTGTTTTAACACAATTAAAAAACAAAAAACAACAAAAAAATGTACACTATATACAATTAGAAATGTATACCATATATCTGCAAAGATCTAACTCAAAGATAGCTGCATAGCAGAGATTGTGTGTCCATTAGGTCATATGATTTTTTCTCTTGCTTTTTACTTTTACTTGCATTGAATCTGACAAGCTTTTTATTTAGAATGAACATATGGTGCAATCATGAAAAAAAAAAACAATTCCATTGAGCAAGATCTGCCTAAAACTGATAAAACATAGGGAAAAATACATTCCATGGTTATTTTTCCTTTCTCATTTGCTTAACATCTGTGTCTGTTAATACCAATGTTTATAAAAATATATTTTTAATAAATGTGCTATATTTTTAGCATGAACCAAATATTCGGAGACACTTGTATTCATGCAGCAAGATTTTGTTTGATGAAGTGCCCTTTTTTGACAATGGATGTTATTCTTCTCAGCAATTATATAGCAGTCGTGTTTGCAGCCCTCTCATTGTAGTCTGAAGCAAACTCACATCATGCTCATATGCACGACTTGAAGTTGGACTGTCAGCTGAAAAGCATTGCTGTTTAATATGGGAAATAGGAAAACACTGAAAGGTGACCTTTGGAGACTGATTGCAGAAAGAAGGCTCTATTTATAGAAAGAAAAAAGCAAATGAAAGGGATATAAAGGCGTCTTAAAAACAAAAATCACAGTATTTATGCCTTCCTGATCTGATCACACTCTCTAAGTACTTATATTTAGAGAAGCGAGCAAAGGTTTATGCAGCTGCACAGAGAGATTTGTAAGAACCTGTAGTGAGGAGCTTAAGAGAAATCCAGATTGTAAATACAGAGTACACTTTAGCTGTGAGGATAGGCAAGCATTTACACTTCTTGGACATGTGCTTTAACTGAGCAGGGTGCAGTGAAATTCTTTGACTTGTGTTTTTGTCAGGAATGTACAACGGGTGATCACCATTTTTCTTCAGAGTTTTAGTACATCTGAATATATGATGCATTAAAATTATGAGACCTCAACTCTGCCTCAAGGTGCCTAAATATGTTTCCTATTAACTCTGAAAGATCTTTTTAATAAAGAAGGGGCCAATTAATTGTTTGCTGACTTGTGGCTTGACCTATGTCCCCAGATGCCTGATGGGGACTGCCACTGAAGTCCACTGGAGTTGATCCAAGTCTGTTTCTGGTGTCGCAGTGATTTCAGTGATCAATCCTGTACCCCGGTAGCAGTAATGAACCTTTCACTGCTTTCCTGAGGCTAGGTCTGGTTTCAAAATGCAGAATTTCACTGAAGGACTTAAATGCAAGTCTGAAAAAACTCCGGGAACACCCCTCATAACAGAGATGTTTGGTTTCTTGTGATATCACACACTTGATACTAAAACCACTAGGAGAAAAGGTCAGTGAATAGATTAAAATGAAATCCAATACTAAACTGGGAAAAAAAAAGAGCAAAAATAATCTTATGAAAATGAAAACATGACAGAATAATAGATCCATGGAAATGCAAGCCGAAAAAAAAAAATGAGGAAAGATTTAGCAAGAAGAGAACAATGCAGAGAGAGGGGACGGAGCCCGCCTGAGTGTTCATTAATGTTCAGACACTGTCAGTAGAGCTGCAGGTCTTGTGGGGACAGTGAGAAACATTAGTGACAGCCCAGTGGAGCTGAATGAGGCTTGTCTTGCCTTTTTTCTTTTTTTTTCTTTCTTTTTTGTTTTTTTTTTTTTTTTTTAGAATTAAGAATCTCTGATTTTTGCTTATCCCAAGTAAGAACAAAATGAGTAAAATATATTTGCCTCCGTCCTGCAGTTTTTCTTCTGGGGAAACTACGACTATTTTCAGCACATGGCCCTGACCTTGGCAGTGATGTCCCAAAGCACACCTGAAAATATGCCTGACATCAGGGTAATCCCAGCCTTGCCCCTCATGCTGGGCAAGCCACTTGGCATAAGTTTCTCTTGGACCTCTCCACCTCCTGCTGCAGCAAGCACACCAAGAAACCCGTCAGAGCTTTGATGCTCCTTCTAGAGAGGACACTTGGGAAAGCAAGGAGCCACAGTTGAGAGACTAGCTCTGATGCCTGCTACTTATTCATCCATCGTGTGATAATACTCATCTTCTTCTTGTGCTTATGAAGGCGCTTAATGAATGACTGTTCACTGAGTATTTTTATTAATATTGCAAATTAACTCTCAATGTTGTAAAGCAGCATATAGCCCCTCATCCCACTAGCAGCTCTTGCTGTTCATTGTGCTGGCACTTCTTTGCACACTGGGCTGGCAACTGCACCCTACGAAAATACTAGCTACGGTCCAGACATGCCTAAGCCTGACTGATGGGTCAAGAAACCTTGAGGAAACTTCGTTTATTCTTCCTTTCCCAAAAGAAGACCCACTGGGAGAATAATTTCCCGTTTGGAGTGTGCTGCATTTCACTTCTGAGCAAAGGCTCCTGTTTACTACAGCAAATGCAGGGTGCCCAGGTGCCACACTGTGTGTTCAGCAACAGCGTGCTCCATGTCTTGCCACAGTGCTGTTATTACGCTTTGAAATAGGAAGAAAGCTTAATCCCATTCCATAAAAAGTTTAACACTTAATATTTTAATTTTACTGGTTTCTGTTCACAGATAGTTCTAGAAATATCCTGGGGCAAGCACTGCTTAAGTAGATTCATTAAGTATTCATTTCAATAAAAACAAAGGGTTTCCTTTGAGGACAATTTCTTTACCTTTTATTTGGTATTCATGAACACTGATATGGGAAAAGTATGTTTTCAAGAATGACTGTGAAAGGGAAATGTTTTATAGAAGAATCTGAAAGTACGTCTACTCAGGCAGATGCACACAGGCTTGTTTTCTGCTGCATGTCAGTGGGAGCCAAATTAGCCTAATGTCTTTTTATATGAGCAGCTGTCAGCATGCACTTACACGAAACGTTCAACTAGGTAACATATATACCAAGGGTACCTTATAGTCAGTAACTACAGTATAAATGGATGACTAAAACCTCTCATTACAGGTGCTGAATAGTAAATCTGCTTTGGCAAGTAAAAAGCTAATAGTTTCATTTCTGGCTTGACTTGTAGGTGATGCAAATGGTTTCCAAAGTAGTTTTTTTAATGAGCTATTGCTACGTCAGTAACAGGAATCTTTATGTCTGCATGTAACTGAGTAGAATAAAATGATTATCCAGTACCTTAATACGATATGAAAATCAAAATCTTTTTCCTCTGTAACCTAAAGGATATCATTGTATTCTTAAATTATCAGATACAGTTTGATGGTTTGTATTGTGAGAATGAAAAATTGTTTTCTGAAGGTCTGCATATGACCAAGAGGTGTCATTCTCCCTGCGAACGTCTGCTGTGTTGCCTGCATGGAACCATGAGCACAGAAGACTCAAATACAAGAAGACAAAATTATTTTAAGTATGTTATACACACAACTAAGGAGAAAGTAGAAAGAACAGCAGCAGCTCTCATCTCTATTTCCTATAACTACCACTAAAATTTTATTAAATCAGGATTCCTGCATTTTTATGGAAATAGACCTTCTGGTGTGCTGTTGCAAAGGTCGATCTCACCTACTGTTTGCTCCATCCTCTTGCACACCTGTACAAATACTTGGCCTGTTGAAGCTGGGGACATTTTTAATAAGCGCTCTGGTTAAGAGCTACTTTGGGATTCTGCAGACATGAAGCTGCTTTTTTTTTTTTTTTGGTTTACTGTGGTGTAAAATTCTAGAATGGGTCAGAGTTGTGTTATTTTAAGGATAGTTAGTAGTTGTTTTCGTGTTTTGGTCTGACAATTCAGGGGATGGCCAGCTGGTTTAATTCCCTTGCTCCTCTTTCTCCCCCCAAACTAAGATTTTCATTCAGCAGACATCCAAACAGTAAAAAAACTTGGGCCAAATTCTGATAAAACTTTGGTATGGAAATGTTGCTACTGTTCTTCATAGGATATAAAGCCCGAGGGTCTTATTCTTCCATTTAATCTGTATCTAGGAGAATCCCAGGTTCTTCAGTGTCTCATCCAGTGAACAGTTCTCCTATTTCTGGGTAAGAAGCTGACATTTCAGGGTGTTATGTGAGATATGCAGGGCACCTAGCCCATAGAGGGGAATGTGAATTAAAAAGTAACTGGTTTAAAACTCTAGAGAGGCAGCATTGCAAAAATTTCTAATTAAACATTGAAGATTTGACTCAAATGCTCTGTTTCTGGCTATGCAGTTTTTGGACAAAAACTGTTGTTCCTCAGAAAGTTTCTGAAAGAAATATGTCTAAATAAAAGAAAGAATCTCATTGAAAAAGTTTCAGGAGCAATTTCAGCAGCAGCCTTCCAAGGAAAACACTGACCGGGCCTCCAAGTGACCCTGGCAGGCTTCCCGAGAGCACTTTTTGGCAGCCTATGAGCACACTGCACAAACCTGTAAGCAGCTCTTGTCTGCTCAAGGGAATTTTCCTGCTTTGGAGAAGAATGGCACAGATTGAAGATTTACAAGGATTTAAGGAACAGTACATAATGCATTCAGCAAAGAGAATACTCTTCACCTTTATTTCCAGTCTACAGGCATTAAAGCAGATACCCTGCAGAACCTGCAGGGTTTCCATGAGTGGCTATGCACTGCGGAGGCTCTGCACAAAGGTCTTAAAAACCCATAATAGATTTCCTTCCTCCTTAATGATCCAAGAGAAACAATACCTGTGCAGTGTGGAAACCTCCTCCGAGCTTAAATTCCGCATGCATCCACAAATCTATCTACATGTGAGCTATATGATATCCAGTAAGACATTCCTAGTATTGAGCATTAGGCATCTTTTCTATGGCCAGTTATGTCCAGCCAGAAGGGCTAACTCAGGGGCTTTCAAGACCACCATGCCTGTGCAGCTGTGCTGGCTGAACTGGAGGACCAGGCAGATGTGAACCTTCCTAGTTTTGGCTTGCTACCCTTTCTTTCGCCACACTGGTGACAGTTCACATGTTCTCAGCATCTGAATCTCTGGCTTCTCAGCTCTGAGGCAGGGACAGCTTCACCCTATGTCCCCTCTAAGTGGGTCTGTCGCTCCCAGAGCAGGAAAAAGCCTGTGTACCACTGAGGATCCAGGAGAAAACTGCCCAGCTCCTGTCTTGGCTGTCACAGGGGCCAACACGGCACAGGGCTCCTCTGCAGGTTGCTGATGAACACACAGGCTGCCCTTGGTACCAGTGGGAAACTGGACGTGACTTCTGGGAATAGGCTGAATCTGGCCCCCATGGTAGGGATTTACTTGAAAGCCTGGATGTCAGCTTGAGCTATGGGAGCAAAAGGGAAACCTTACCTTGTTCATAGGATGTGCTTAAATATGTTCACAACACTGTGTTCCCTCCTTGTGCAAGCAGTGTAAATTCATATTAAGATGATCTGGGGCTCTAGACACACCATTTCTGACCTTCTTAGCAGTGACAGACTTTACTCCACAGGGATGAGGAAATTTGGGTTTGACTGCCTTAGTCCCCTAGTATAAGGAGCAAAGTCTGCTCTTGCAAGGCAGAGACTGCAGCAGGAGCATCTATTTCATGCTGCTGACAGCGGGTAACCTCTGACAGAAATTTTTTTTGCCCCTTGCCCTCCCATCATCCCAGATAATTTACTATTGCAATGGAAGGGAACTGCAAATTTATTGTCTGTTCCCTGCAGAGTCAATCACCAATTAGTCTCAAGTTGTTTCATGATACTGAGGTGCTGATACATGGACTCGTCCCCAGGAGCTGGGGGTTCAGGAGTAGCCCTGTCATCGTTCTCTGGTCTTGAGCCCATGGAGCTCCCACCACAACAAGAGCCTCAGTCAGTGTCAGGCTCTGGCACAAAGTTTAATGGATGAACACGAGGAATATGAAATGGGAGACACTGAGAGCCAAAAATGGGATAGAGGAGACTGGCATCTTTGTAAAGATAACTCTCCTTCAGGAGCAGTTGTCTTATGGTGGGTTGATATTGGTGGTGGGCTAACGTAATAAAATGCTTGTGTAACACAGGAGTGATTTCTCACCTATAGTTACAGCGTAGTAACTTAATGGGAAAGACTTTATAAATCTGCTTTTGT